CTCTCTCTCTCTCTCTCTCTCTCTCTCTCTCTCTCTCTCTCTCTCTCTCTCTTTCTCTCCCCCTGGATTTCTTTGATAACTGAGCAGGCTCTTAGGAGAAAAAAGACAGAAGCAGCAACTGAGGACAAAGGAAAAGAGATGTTCTGTGTTGGAAAATAGCGACGTTTGAGTCAAAGTGAATTTTGTTCACTAAGCAAGATAACTTCCCAAGAGGTGTCGGCTTAGCCCTTTGGAGTGCCTGCTCCTGCCGTCAGGGAAATTAAGTACCTGGGAATTCAGTGTCTCTCTGTAATCAAGGCCTTGTTTTCTGAGTCCAGAATCCAGGGACAGAACCATTAAAGGGAGTCTCTGGTTCTGCAACCCCTGACCCTCCTCCATGGGTGGATGGATATACAAGCAAGCACCCTGGCCTGCTGACTCGCACCCAGAGGAAAGCAAAGGACCGGAGCCCCGCCTTCAGGAAGCCCTGAGCCCAGAGCAGCAAAACCGTGCTTCCTCTTCCCTTCACTCCCCGTGCCCCAAAGGTCACTGTGGGCTGGCATGCCCTGCCCCCACCCCAGCGAGGGCCCAGAGCAGCTCCTATCCCGCCCCCGCTCCAGCCAACAGCCCCCAGCTGCGACACAGCCACCTCTCTAACCCACCTGTCCCCAGTGGACTCGTTACTCTGGGCACTTCTGCTCTTAGAGACAAAGAAAACAACAACAACAAAATCCATGGTCCAAGCGGCAGATGCTGCCCGGCCCGGAAGTGCGCTTCTGGTCCAGAGGACGACAGTGGGTAGTGCAGTGGGCAGCCCTGGAAAGAGGAAATCCTCTTTGGCGTCCAAAGCACAGATTGTGAAGAACAAGCGTCCACACTATGGTGATGACTGGACGTCAGGAAGCTGTGGTTGCCTCGCCGAGGCCCAGCTTCTGGGTGTGGTGGGAATGGATGGAGGCAGAATGGACTAGATGGCGCAGGTGTAGCGCCCATAGGATTCCATTTAACAAGGCTCCCGCGGGAACAGATGGAGCAGGTGGAACGGATTGGACCTTCAGTGGGTCCCGGCCAAGACGTTAGGGAGTTACATGGCTGGGGTTTTAATGTTTGTCTTTCTTCGATTTAGACTTGGTACTATGCACTCGAAACCTAGCTTTTAGGTTCCTGGTCCCACCCTTCTGCCACCCCCGTGTTCCCCAGTTCCTGCCACTCCCACGCCCACATTATCCAAATCCTAAAATTCTGTGCATTTTTGGCCTTTCATGTAGTTGGAAACGAATTAGCATACCCTGGGAATAGTCACCTCCGTTGGTGAGAAGTTTGGAAATGTGACAAGTGTTTTTTTGTTTGTTTGTTTTGTTTTGTTTTGTTTTAAAGTGGGACCAGCCAGCTAATTGCACAAGCTACACAAAAGGCAGAGTGTCTGATTTCTCACCTCCAGGACTGTCAGGTCCTGTTCTGTTCAGCTGGAGACTGAATTCATGCTACCAGGGTTACCATGGAAGAGTCCGCATGCCGCTCTAATTTGAGCGCCTGTGGGTCCCACTTTTCCTAATCCTAAAGACTCTTGATTATAGGGTCAAATTTACCCCTGCAAAGACATTTGGAGATGCCTAGAGACAGCGCTGATTGTCACCATTTGGGGCGAGGAAGCACTCCTGACATCTACCGAGTGGGTAGAGATCAGAGGTGTGGCTAAATCAGCATCTGTGTGTAAAGTCGGCCAGCCCCATGGTGGAAGCGCGGAGACTGGAGACTCTAGACTAGACCAAGACCTGAACCAAGAAGAGAAAATGCAGTGAACTGTGAGGAGAGGTTAGGAAGATCTGCGGGAGGCAGCTGCTCTCAGGAGCAGTCGGTATCAGGAAGAAACCCGGGGTTTTCACGAGTTTGCCGATTTTAATTAGCTCCCGATGGTGATGTTAGCATTGCCGTGTTTTGCTCCTAATGATAAATCCGTCAACCCAAAACTCACCACCAGAAGCCTGGACTTGTCTAGTTTCTGGCGAGAGTGCCTGTGTTCATCAGTTCAGAAAGGCCCCTGACTTATTTATCACCTTGCAGCCCTGATGGTTGAAATTGAAATTTTGATTTTTCAAGAACAATGATAAAGGGTAATAGAATCTTGGAAGGGGTACCGATTATCTTTTAAAAAAAAATTCATAGACAGTTGTGGAGGTTCAAAACATAGAGTTTTGAACCTATTAACATATACACAATGTAAGTGTGTGATTGGGCGTGTGCGCGCATGTGTGTGTGTGTGCGTGTGCATGTGTGTGTGTGTGTGTGTGTGTGTGTTGTCTCACAAGGTAGCCCAGGCTACCCTCAGACTCCCCGTCCTCTGCCTCCATAATGCTGGGATAGCAAGACCACACCACCGCTCTTAATTTTATTAGCTTTACAGGAATGTCTGAAATACTCAGGAGTTTTCAGTTTGTTAATTTGTAGTCGGCCAATTAGAGCAGAAGGTAAGATCCCAAACCAGGACCCTGGAGCCCAGGTTTTACAGCTTCAAACTTAGTTCTGATATTATTAGCTAAACAGCCCATTGAGAATTATCCTTGGTGCCTCAGTTTCCATGGGAGCAAATCGGAGATAACAGACTGGAACATGAGGTTAGGCCTGCCCTGAGAATTAAATGGTTAACCGTGGAAATTGTTGAGGGCGGTGTCTGAACACCATAGGGGCTGTGTTGGCTAGCAAATCTATCAAAACTACCAAATCTATCACAAAAACAAAACACAAAACAAAACAAATGTAAAGTTGTTAAGTCTGGTGGAACCAGCCAGAAACAAGCCTCCCACTGCCCCATATTAAGATTCTATAAGAAGCACAAGGGTCATAAAAAGCAACTCCAGACCCTAAAAGGTACAACAAGGATTTCAAACCGTCTACTCCAATAAACTGAATACTGCCTTTAAAATGGGGTGTTCCAAAGCAGTGTTTTTTTTTTCTTTTTCTTTTCTTTTTTTTTGCATCCCAGTGCTGGCCCCTGGCAAATTAAAAAACTCACAAAGGCCAAGTTCATTTGCAAGGAACCCCCCTGTCTTTTAGCTTGCTGGGGCTTTAGAGGGGGCGGAGGAGGAGGTGGAGGAAGTCACAAGGAGCTCACCTCTTGTGAGACTCTCGCCTCAACCCCAAATCCTAGCAGCTCCACTCAGTCAGATTTTCATATTGGCTTTCAACCCAAGATTACAAATTCTGGGGACTTGGTGGTCCAGTAAGGCTTCGAAACATTTTTATTTGAACGATTGTATGACTTCTTTAAGGAGTTTGAGAGCCCCAAGAATCATTACATTATCAGAAAACTTGTTTTATTCTGATAAGGTCTCACTGGGTACCCCAGGCTGTCTTCAAACTCATAACCTCTCTGTTTCAACCTCCCACGGGCTGGGATTACAGATGTGGCCTGCTGTTGACAGACATTCTTTATTCGTGCATGTCAATTACACAAACAATGAATTTTATTATAATATTTTGTCACATGTGTGCTTTTACAATGCGCTTTGATCATAGTCACGCACCAATGCCCGCCCGCATGTCTCTTTTCTCTAACGCTCACAGTGTGACACTCCTCAGAAGATAGTCATAAAACGCTTGACCTATGAATCACACTGTTGAGACTCTGCAGCAGACCCAAGTGTCAGACCAGGACGGGCTTTCTCATCCCACCCACGGGGTTGCAGACCAAAGGGCAGCCCCTCATCTCAGCAGCAAGGGGAAGTCCATGCAAGAGCAAAGCCATAGCTCCTGAGCAGCCCTCTCTGAGCTGGAGAAGAAGCTCCTTGATCCTCTGATTCGGTGCTAAATTCTCATCCACTCCTGAACTTTCTGTTCCAAAGAACAAGATGGGTCATTTGGAGTAGCTAGAGGGGCTGAGAAATGGCTCCGTGGTTCAGGGCACTTGCTGCTCTTGCAGAGGACCCCTGTTCGGTTCCCAGTACTCACAGAGGATGGCTCACAATAGCCTGTATCTCTAGTTCCAGGGGATCTGTCATCCTCTTCTGGACTCGGTTGTCACCTGCAAGCATGCAGTGTGCATGCAGACATGCAGCCATATATATTTTACATAAATAAATGTAAAATCGGCAAATCTTTAAGAAACACACTGAAAAGACCAGTTTTCTTGAATAGGTTTCACAACGCTGAGAATATACTAAAACTCACGGAACTGTGTACTTTATATAGATAAATTATATAGCATACAGATACATCTTAATAAAGCTAATATATGAAGAGACGGCACAGAAGGAGAAAGGGGAGGGCAAGGGAGAAAGGGAGGAGGGAGGCGAGGGGAAAGGAGGGTAGAGGCATGACCAAAACACAGGGCTGTCATGGACAGTGCCGTCAGATGCTGAAGCAGCAGCCTGGGTATAGATGGCTTTGGAGGCCACAAGAATGTGACTCTCACATTCACGGACTGGGCCCATTGGAGGATTCTAAGCAGAAGGCTGATGCAATCTGATTATCAAGACAACTTTGTCTTGCACGGAGTCTGGCGAGGGCGCAATTCTAGACTGGAGGCCTCAGGTTTCCCAAAGGTTCTCTAAGAGGGGAAAGCAGGGAAGACTTACCCTCCCGTCTGCTGCCTCGTCCCGTCCCTCTGCCTGTAGCCTTTCCTCACTTCTCAGCGTTCTTCAGCTTTCTACCTAAGGGAAGGAGATCTGAAAACACTAGCCGAGATCACCACCAGATGGCTATCTAGCCCATTCTCTCTGCTTGGTTTGGAAACGGGACAACTCAGTAGGTGGAACACGTACGTGCCTGGTGAGCACAAGAACATGAGTGGACGCCCCCCCCCCCCGACCCCACTGAAATAAAAGCCAGACATGACGGGGTATACTTGTAATCCCAGCCCCTGGGAGGCAGAGACAGGTAGATCTGTGAAGCTTGCTGGCCAGCCAGGCTTGTCTACTTAATGAGTTCCAGGCTAGGGAGAGACCCTATCTCACAAAGAAGGTGAATGGTGCCGGGCAGTGGTGGCGCATGCCTTTAATTCCAGCCCTTGGGGGGCAGAGGCAGGCAGATCCCTGTGAGTTTGAGGCCAGCCTGGTCTACAGAGTGAGTTCCAGGACTGTTTCACAGAGAAACCCTGTCTCAGAAAACAGCAACAACAACAAAGAAGACAAACGGCACCTGAAGTCGTCTTCTGGCCTCTACATGAAGACTCCCTCCGCCACGCCTGTGGGTCTCCCCCTCTGACAAACATATACACATACAAAAAGAAACAAGGCAACTCGGCTTTATTCACTGCCTAATTTTTGTGGCACAAGTCACTCGGGAAAGGGGCTTATGCTACAGGTGCGAATGTGAGTTTCTGGGTGGAGCCAGAGACTGGAGAAATCTACATCAATATTAACATGTAAAAGAAGCCAGTTGGCAGAGGCAGAACAGAAATCCTTCTCCACCAGGGCTACATTCAAAGTCTAGAGCATGGAGACATACCTGTGACATGCAAATGGGGGGCAGATTAATATTACAGAGATGACCTATGGTCAGGAGCCTCAAGGGCCAGAGGTTTTTTTAAGCTGTTTCTTCCGATCACAAGCCTACTCCCTTTCTAGGGATTGCTTTCCCTTCCTTAAAAATTTGTCTCAATTTCCATGTCTAACCATGTGTCCCTTGTCCAATTCTGTGGCCTAGGACCCAAGAGCCTGGAAAGTTTCAGACAGGCTGGCACTTAGCTACTAGGTAACAGCTAGGTAGCAGAGGTAACAGCTGGGTAGCAGAGG